TTATTTACATAAGCTCTTACATGCCAAAAACTAGTTTTAGTTGAAGAACTAGAGACAAGTTAGAGATTCTTAAGTATAAAAATCACACATGCATTGATTTATAGTCAACCAGGCGATGCCATAGTCAGCCTACAGGAATATGGCCACAACATTCTTCTTGTTATAGTATTATGGGCCCGTTTACTTTTACTTTTGCTTTTACTTCTTGTATAAGGGAAGTTTGAAAAAGTTACCTTAATTGGTGTTTGACATATTAATTTTTGAAATAGCTTTCTCTTCCGAAAGAGTTTTAAGAAGTCACATTAAACCATCTTCTTATAAAAACTCTTCTAATTGGAGTACTTCTATAAAATTAACCAAACAGATCGCTCAAAAATTTCTTTTGATTTCTCAAAAGTCATGGCAAATGTGTCCTAAGCATTGGAAGAATATATGATTTTGTGAGAGCGTATCACTTTAAGAATTCCAATAATTTGTTTAATTGATACAAATTGTGACCTCAATTTTGTACATATTTTGATTTCAACAAATGATGACATTATATGTTCAATCCACTCAATTCTTAACAAATATTACGTTACTAAATTGTATTTGTTGACTTATGGTTGATCATGACCTTAATGTTTTGATTATAACAAACAAGTTCATCTTATTTACTAACAAATTGAATTGAAGTGTTTAAACCTTCAAAGTTATAAAGATTATTATTCATACTCAAATGAAGTACAAGTGAAGGTTAAACGAACATTCAAGACAAATCATTCGAGACAATAGTGATTTGCATGCGACAATTAAATTGAAACTTAACAAAATTGCAAATCAAGATACACGTGCAAATCAAGATATAAGCCAAAGAGAGGCTCGAAGAGATCAAGAACATTGAAAATAGAGTTATTTATTGAATCTCATTTATATATGTAAAGGTGTAACTCGTCAATGTTTAGCAAGTGCATAAAACTCAAATATTTCTCATAAATTCATCACTTGTATAAATTTGTTTGACATGAAAATGATTTTGAAAAAATGAACATTTGTAATATATCAAAAACCTTGAAAAATCATTTTCAAACGTCCCTCAAAAGATCACACTTCAACTTTCAATCAAAAAGTTATACTCCGATTTTCAATTTCATATTGGGACAGATTTTTGACATGTAAGATGATCTAATTTGAAGATGATTTCTGAAACAAAACTATAGCCCTTTGAGTCAGCTTTCCAACCCATATTTAATCACCTTAATCGGATATCGAGAGAGAAAGATATGATCAAAATACTGAAAATTGTCCGACTTGTCTACAACTTTCGGTCAACCGACGGTCGACCGAAAAGTCAACTTCGGTCGATCGAAATGTCAACGGTCTGATTTCCAACGGCTATATTACTGTTTCGGTCAACCGAAAGTTACTGTTCATCAACCGAAAGTTCCTGCAGCTTATTTTTCTTGCTCTATAAATACCTATCTCTTTTCCATTCAATTTGATTAACTTACAAGAGATTTTTTAGAACTTTTTTATTGAGAAATCATTGAGTTTACTTAAGTTTAAATTCTATTTCATTTATTACAAAAGAATTTCTTGACTGATTCAACCTATTTCATTCATCTTATCAAGAAATCTTTTTAGTAAAGAACTTTTCACAATTTCTTCTATTCTTCATTCTTGATAAAAGTTTTTATTTGCCAACACTTTTGTTAAAGTGTAAGATCTCTCTTCATACTTAACTTGTATTATTTGTTAAGAGAGATAATTTGTTGGAAACTTTGATACAAAGATACAAACTATTTCATCATCCATCATTCATCAAAGTTTACAACATCAACACTTAAACTTCATTATTTGCTATCTATTGAAGTGTTTACCTAAATCTCTAATACTTAACTTGATTATATCATTTATTAAGAGAGTTTCTTCATTATAAAATTATCACTTATTTCTTGACGGTTTCGAGAGTCTTGTGAAAACTCGATTGTAAGGATAGGTGCTCCTTGTTGTAAGTCACTTAAGGATAAGTGCTCCTTATTGTAAGTCACTTAAGGGTAGGTACTCCTTGTTGTAAGTCACTTAAGGATTGATACTCCTTGTTGTAAGTTACCATTATAGTGCATTTGGCCTTACTCGTGATGGAGAGCTTGGTAACGAGGGACGTAGATGATTGCATTGGATCGAACATCCATAACATATCGTTTGCATTCTCTATCCCTTTTACTTAACGCATTTACTTCGCTCAAATTTACATTGGTCCATTTACGTGTTTACTTGTGTTTAGAGACTATTTTCTATCATTTGCGTGTTCATTTATTAAAATCTTGAGTGATTAACGAAAAAGTTTTAATAACCAATTCACCCCCCTCTTGGTTAGTTATTCTTGGGCTAACACTATTGAGATGGAATATTTTCTTATGCTGGGACAACAAAAGTCAATTGAAAGAGCGAGCTCTTGACAACTAAAGTCTTTTTTCATATGCATTTTTAAGAATCATATTTGATTTTCACTGTAATTGTAAGGAGTTTTATGTCAAGGAAGTGAATTTCTTAAAGAAAATATCATGCCATTGTACTAGGAGGCTCAATCACGTACAAGAGATCGAGCAACTCCACGTCTCCATCTAATGAGTTAATTTTTTAGATGAAACTCTAATTCCCTACAAATGATATCGGAGTTTGGCTCTAAACTTAGCCACGTGATTGTAACCATACGAAGTTGGAATTAGTTGAGAAAATGAAAAATAGAAAACTATAAAAAGATATTATTTAACAGAAGAATGAGAGTTTCAGAGCAAAATTGCAATTATGCAACGAAACTATGAGTCATACTCATCGTTACGAGGTGAAAGAGTTCATATTTCACAAAAATAAAGTATTTGTCTTTTCTACCAAAGAACTTGCTTAAATGATGTTAAAAGTAAAAGATCACATGAGAGTATCACCACTATCTAGATCAATCTTTTCGATTAAAAGTGGGTATTTACAAAAAACAATCTTATATAGCGCTTCTTTTGACAATTTGCCAATCATGTTCTCACGACGACTTCAATTAATCTCATAGTGAAATCAAACTACAAATTTTATATTTGAAATAACACCAAATTCCAATTTCTGATTTATAGCTAAAATTTTGGCAGTCATATTTACCTTTGGATCCATTATCCATAAACGGTCCTAAATTTACAGGCCTAGTTATCGGCCTGGCCTAAATTTACGGGCCTCATTGCACATGTTGTGCCCAATAGTAGGACTAGGATTTAAGAAGGAGGAAATAATGGTAGATGGCCAGTTGACCTAGCCACTTTTCCATAATGGCTTTTGATCAAATTTAAGTAAAAAATTTAAAGAAATGACAATACCCATTTTACCTCCATTTTCAACGTTGAGAATTTGAAAATCTTACCATTTCTTGTTCTTCAATATTTATTCATCTTCTCCATTTACATCGCCATTCTTCAAGATTTTTTTCATCCATCTCCATCTACATCTCTATATTTAAGGTTTTTTCATATTATTTAGTTAAATTCGATTTTTTTTTTTGCTTATAATATCGATGAATAATGTGTTTTTAGTTTTTAATATTCAAAGATTTAAACAAAAAAAATCTTTTATTATGTTGAAAAAATCCAAATTTGTAAAGAAATCTCAGTAGATCAGATATATGTTAACGAGGTTTGGGGGTCCAGATGGTCTGGGGTCCGAGTGGTCTATGGTTCGGGTCAGGTTGGTCCAGGGAGTCCGGGTCGGGGGTCTGGGGAAGAAATCCTGCCTTTTAATTTTGAAATGAAGGGTATGTTTGTCTTTTAATGTTAAAAATGTCATCGTGGTAAGTAATTAGCAAGTTAGGCTCATGTGTTGAATATGGTGTTTGACGTGGTCATTTAAAAAACGCGGCCTTTAACAAGTGGCCAACACATAATAACACACTTGCCATTTCTTTCTTCATGTATTTCTCATCTTCTCCCCTCTGCCTATGCACAAGAACAAATAGCTCTGTCAATCTGAACCCTCCAAAAGTCGTTTGCCACAGCCTTAGCATTTAGCTGCCATTTTAGTCCACACTCAGAGTCACGGTTAGTTTTTTTTTTTTTCTGATTTTCATTTTCTGCATGAGTGTTGTAGAATGCCGATGTGTTCCTTGTCGATTTTCTTCTTTAGATAAGGTTTTGTTTCTTATACGTATTTTTTGAGGAAAAATGACATCATTCAACTGACTTTTTTATTATTTGTTAATATGAAATTCTGCAAATTGACATTTTAAAGAATATTATGGATAACGTTTGTTGGTCGAGCTTGTTAATGTGGTGTTTGATTCTTGTTTGTTTAAAATCTCTACGTGCCAGAAATTCAGTGGCTTATTTTTATTTTTGGGTATCTCTGGACATAGATAATAGTATTATGACTACTCAAAAAGCATTCGGCTTATCACATACTCTCCAGAAATTATAGGTGGAGAACATATCCATGTTTTCTCTAATGGTCTTCCAGTTAAGGCGTCCAATCTTGAGCTTGCAGGGCATACAATTCGTGCTGCTGCTCTTAGGTTGAGAGGTCTATCGGAAGAAGAAAATGTAGATTATGGTGGCAAGATGGAAATTTTGAATGAGAAGGAGGTGTATGTGGAATCATCTGATTCTTATAACAATAAAGGCGAGAAGAAATCCAGTGGAAAATCTAAGTAGCGGGATCATTATGCTCTGTTGGGATTGAGTCTAAGTAGCGGGATCATTATTCTCTGTTGGGATTGAGTCATTCGGTATCTTGCTACTGAAGATCATGTAACTGTTATGTTCTACGTTCAATCAACTTTGAACATAAGCACTTTTAATTTATAGTTGATGCATGTTTATGGCAAGATCTATGATTTAATTAAATTAATATTCTAATAAATTAAATAATAGAATCAGTAGATTCAAGTCTTTGTAATTTGTTAATTACAAGAAATTGTAATTGTGAGATACAAATTACAATATGGACGAATCTTAAATCGTCCGTGGTCATAAGTAATAACGAGATACGAATATCGTTATTACGGATAGACCATCACGTATAACATTTCTTTTGTGAAATAGCTGATCTCACAAACTAAAGTGTAGTGACACTTAAATGAACACATAGATGTTTTGTTATAAAACAAAACATTGGAGACCCGCTGGGAAGATTCAATGGATAACTATTTGAGTGTCAGTAGTTAATTTCTAATGTTCGGTAGTGGAATTGGTCATTTGACTTGAGGTCATCATTGTGTCTTATACGAGGACAGTCATATTTTGGTGATATTGGATGTTGCTCTGCCAAGGGTTGCTAATACGGCATCGTTCATGGTATGTTAAGAATCATATGAAGGTTGTGAATGATCAATATAGGATTCGTCACTCTTAGATAGTAAGCGATTATGATTTACATTTCATTTAGTTAAGTTGATAATGAAATCATTGGCCAATGTGTATTCATAAGTCGTAAAGGAGTTTTCGAATTACGTTGACTTAATAGTAAGATGAAAGATATGATCGATAATTGAGATTGACACATATCCATATCTCTAATTGATCGAATCATATTGATGAAATAATTATAGTTTCACGGTAAACGAACTACTTTGGTTTTGTCATACCACGTGACATTTCTTATCACTTGTATTTCTTTGACACATTGCTAGATATCAATCTGGGATGACGAATGTGAATTGATGATAAATTAAACCTCTTTTAATTTATCGATTTTGACTAGATAAAAAAAAATTCAGGTCATTAGGCATCGTGATTGGGAATCTGATGGGTCACACACAAAATGAGAATCAGAAGAATGAGATTCATAAATTAGTTAATTAACAAGTGTTGTCAATTAATTAATTGGGTTGCTTGTTAATATGCCCGAATTAATTAATTCATGGACTAAATTTAAATAATTGGATGAATAGGTTGTTAGGGTTTGAAAATAACACACAACATTATTATTATTATTATTATTATTATTATTATTATTATTGCTAGCACAAGAAAAGAAAAATAAAATCTCAGTTCTCGTTCTTGTTTCATGTGTGGATTTTCATTGGAGGCTGGACAATTGGATTGTTGTAGATTGCAATTCGTAATTGTTCGTGTTCGAGAATCAGCAAAAAAGTTTGCAGAATTCATCAAAGGTATAATTTCTATCACATTTTCTCTCTAAACACAAAGCAGATCTTTGGTGGGAATTGAAAAATAATTTATTTTCCTGTTGTGCATGTTAAGTAAATTCCCTACAAATCAAATAAGAAAGAGTTATCGTGAGACTGCTTTAAGGTATCATCCAGACAAGCTGACTTCTATGCTGCTTGCTGATGAAACAGAGGCTGCAAAGCAAGCAAAGAAGGATGAAATAGAGTCTCACTTCAATGCAATTCAAGAAGCGTATGAGGTGTTGATTGACCCCGTCAGGAGAAGAATCTATGATTCCACAGACAAGTTCAATGACGAAATGCCAAATGATCGTGTCCCTCAGGACTTCTTCAAGGTTTTTGGACCTGCATTCTTGAGGAATGGGCGTTGGTCAGTGAACCAGCCTGTCCTGACCTTGGGAAATGATAGTAGTACTCTCAAAGAAGTTGATAGCTTTTATGATTTTTGGTATAGCTTCAAAAGTTGGAGGGAGTTTCCTCATACTGATGAGTTTGACCTTGAGCAAACTGAATCTCGTGATCATAGGAGGTGGATGGAAAGGCAAAATGCAAAACTTTCGGAGAAGGCAAGAAAGAATGATTATGCACGTATACGTACTTTTCTTGATGATGCCTATAAAAGGGATCCTAGAATTATAAGAAGAAAAGAGGAACAGAAAGCTAAAAAGCGAAGAAAGAAGCTGCAAGGATTACCGAAGAGGAGAGACGTAGGAAAGATGAGGAGGAAAGAAAGGCTTCTAAAGCTGCTTTAACTCAGAAGAAGTTGAAGGAAAAAGAGAAAAAGCTATTGAGAAAATAGAGGACCTGTCTTCGAACACTTTCATCTCCAATTTTATCCCAGCATCTGGTCGATCTCAGCAATGATCATTTAGAAAGTGTTTGTATGTCACTTAATATCGAACAGCTCTGTAATTTGTGTGATAAGATGGAAGAAAATGAAGGGCTAGAGAGAGATGAAGTTCTCAGGGAGGTGCTCAGATTTGATCACAAATTAAAGGATGAGAATCAAGAGGAGAAAAAGTTACGACCGAATGGTACTGCAGTGGCGAATTGAAAAGGTATATTCAGCGGCAACGAAAAGTGGGAAAAACCTTAGAGCAAAGAAGAGATTGAGCTTTTGAGAAAAACGATGCAAAAGTACCCTAAAGGAACTTCTCGAAGGTGGGAAGTGATATCTGAGTAATTGGTACTGCAAGGTCAGTTGAAGATATTCTTAAGGCTACGAAAACAGTTCTCCACCAGAAACGTGACTCCGCTAAGGCTTTTGACTCATTCCTTGAGAAAAGAAAGTCAGCCCAATCAATTGCATCTCCTCTATCAACTAGAGAGGAAGTACATGGGGACAACGTAGCAAAGAAGAACGCCTCTGATCTAGGCAATTTGCAAGAATTACCAAATCATAGCAGAAGCTTCTAGAACTCCAATGACTCTAGTGCTGCTGATGTGGTTACGATAAGTTCAGATCTTGATACATGGTCTGACATACAGGAAAGAGCTTTAGTTCAAGCTCTGAAGACTTTCCCCAAGGAAACTGTTGAATACTAAGACTTTAGGTAGCTGATTTTATGGAATAACTGATTAAGTTTATGTTTTTGTTAATTTATTTTGAAATTATTTTATTTACTGAGTCAATAATGGTTCCTCAAATCCAGGAATATCAGTAGCAAATAAATTTGTCAGTTAAGATTTTTAGTTAAGATTTTTATGCAAAAATATCTGTAAATATGATCTCTTTTTCTTGTATTTAATAAGCTTTATTAATGAAAGAAAGTATCTTCCACATAAAAACTTTATTCTCAGTTCTTTACAACAATTTTTCTTGAATTTCTTTCTGCTATTTTTTCCTACAATTGGTATCAGAGCATTCTTCTTAAAGGACTGTGATTATTATTTTCTATTGAGTGTGTGAGCTTAAACACTTGAGACCTGAAACACCTGTAAGAGTGTGAGCATTCAATTGTTATTTTTTTTAAATGGCATCAAGTAACTTTTCTGTTCCTGGTCCTCCTCTCTTTACAGGAGAAAATTATCAGTTTTGGGCTATTAAGATGAAATCCTACTTAAGAGCCATGAGTTTGTGGGAGGTCATTGAGAATGATGTTGATCCTGCCCCTATTTTGCAAAATCCAACACTTGTACAGATCAAGAAACATGAAGAAGATGTGACTAGAAAACCTAAAGCACTTACCTACATCCACTCAGCAGTATCAGATGTAATCTTCACAGGGATAATGACCTATGAATTGCCAAAGCAAGCATGGGATAAATTGAAGGAAGAGTTTGAAGGTAGTGACAGGGTAAAGACAGTCAAGATGTTGACACTTAAACGAGAGTCAGAAATGTTGAGAATTTCTTCCCATCTTTCCCTCCATTTCTCCTACCTCTGTCCTTCATCATAAGTGCTCCTTCAATATTTTCTTCTGATCTTATCGAGGTCTTTTGCTATTGTGCCTGCAGCTTACTAATTGATCAGCTTGCCTGGCAAATTTGAGTCCAAGATTTCAGCAATTGAAGAGTCTTGTGATTTGAAAAAATTGTCAATTGCGGAACTTATTAGTAAGCTGCAGGCACAAGAGCAAAAGACCTCGATAAGATCAGAAGAAAATATTGAAGGAGCACTTATGATGAAGGACAGAGGTAGGAGAAATGGAGGGAAAGATGGGAAGAAATTTGTTGGTGCCAAACAGAGCAAAGACAAAGCTCTAGCAAAAAGCTCAAAAGGGTTTCATAAAAAGGGTAAGTTCCTTCCCTGTGGAACTTGTAAAAGAACAAACCATCTTGAGAAAGATTGTTGGCATAAAGGTAAACCTCAGTAGTTGTGTAGATATTGCAAGGGATACGGGCATACTGAAAGGTATTGCAAATTGAAAATGGAGCAAGCAGAACAACAGCCTCTACAGCATGCAAATCACACTCAGGAAGAACTACAACCTGAGGAACGATTATTTATGGTCACAAAACCATCTCAACCACTTGGAGCCAACATTTGGCTTGTTGATAGTGGTTGTACAAGCCACATGACTGGTGATGTAAGTATGTTCACTTCACTGGACAGATCCTTCAGAGTCAAGGTAAAACTGGGAAATGGAGATCTTGTGCAGTCTAAGGGCAAATGTACTATTGCTATTCATAAGAGAGAAGGTACCAAGTTCATTTATGATGTTCTTTATGTTCCTAGCCTAGATCAAAATTTGTTGAGTGTGGCTAAAATATTGAAGAAGGGTTATTCTATGAATTTCAAGGATAATATGTGCACTATTTATGATCCTTGCGGCTGTGAAATTGCAAATGTTGAAATGGTAGATGACAATTTTCTTTTGGATTTCAATATGGCTAAACAACATGTTTATAGTGCCAAACCTAATGAAACTAGGCTTTGGCATACAAGGTTTGGACACTATAATAAAAAATCCTTGAAGTTTATGGAAGATAATGGTATGGTGATGGATATGTCTTCTATTTATGTGACTGATGATATTTGTGAATGTTGTCAGAAGGGGAAGATGCATAGAAAATCCTTTTCTATCAACAAAACTTGGAGGGCAACCAAAAAACTTGATTTGGTCCATACTGATGTCTGTGGTCCAATGAGCATTCCATCTTTCAATGGAAGCAAATATTTTCTCTTATTCATTAATGATTTGACAAGGATGGTATGGGTTTATTTTTTGGCTAATAAATCTGAAGTTTTATCTATGTTTAAGAAGTTTAGAGCTTATGTGGAGAATCAAACTGGATGTGGCATCAAGACCCTGAGGTCAGGCAATGGTATGGAGTACAACTCTGGAGAATTTGTAAAATTTTGTGAAACTGCAGGTATTAATCATCAGCTTACAATACCTTATACTCCACAACATAATGGGGTATCAGAAAGGAAAAACAAGACCGTGATGGAGATGGCTACATGCATGATTATTGAGAAGTGCTTGCCTAAGTATTTTTGGGCTGAAGTTGTAAATTCGGCTGTTTACCTTCTAAACAGACTTACTACAAAGTCTGTGAAGGGTATGACACCATATGAAGCATGGTTTGGGATAAAACCATCAGTTAAGCATCTGAAAGTTTTTAGTTCAGTGTGTTATTTTCGTGTTCCAACAGTAAACAGAACCAAATTGGATGAAAGGGCATAATTGGGTATCTTTTTTGGTTATGCATCTCAATCCAAGGGGTACAAAGTTTATAACATGAAGACAAAAAAGATCACAGTGTGCAGAGATCTTGAAGTAGATGAGTTGGCCTTCTGGAATTGGGAAAAGAATTCAGTTGAAAAGCAATCTGCAATTCCACATCAGGTTTCAAGCTCAGGAGACGCAAATGAAAATCAGAAAATCTCTATTGAAAGTGAAGATTGATTATTCAGACATGGATTCTCCAAACCTGAAAACTAAATCTCTATCCGAGATTTATGCAAGGTGCAACATAGCTATCTCAGAACCAGGAGATTTTGTTGAAGCTTCCCAACTTGAAGAATGGCGAAAAGCTATGAAGGAGGAAATTAGAATAATTGAGAAGAACCGGACCTGGGAGCTCCCACCAAGCCAAAGGAAAAAAATGTTATCGGTGTCAAATGGGTTTACAAAACTCAATTAAACCCTGATGGCTCCATTTTCAAACATAAGGCTAGATTGGTTGTGAAGGGTTATGCACAAATGGCTGGAGTAGATTATGGCGATACATTTGCACCTGTGGCAAGACATGATACTATTAGAATGCTTCTAGCTTTTGCTGCTAAACATGGATGGATTGTTTTTCATTTAGATGTCAAGTCTGCATTTCTTAATGGAATTCTTGAGGAGGAGATTTATGTGCACCAGCCTCAAGGTTTTGTAATTTCAGGTGAAGAAGACAAAGTTTACAGATTAAGAAAAGCATTGTATGGGCTGAAGCAAGCCCCCGGACCTGGTATGCTAGAATTGACTCTCATTTGATCCATCAAGGATTCAAGAGGAGCGATAATGAAGCTACATTATATATTAAAAGTCTCGAAGATGGTGAAAAACTAATTTTGTCCTTGTATGTCGATGATATGTCGGTTACAGGAAGTAATTTTCAGTTAGTAAAAAAGTTCAAGGATGAAATGCAACAAGTATTTGAAATGTCAGATTTGAGGTTGATGAATTACTTCTTGGAAATGGAGGTCTATTAGATAAAAAAGGTATCTTTCTTACTCAAAGAAGATATGCTTGGGATGCCCTCAAAAATTTTAATTTGGAGCAAGGGAAATCAGTTGCAACACCACTTGTCTAGAATGAAAAATTAACACTTGATGATAGAGAAGACAAGGTGAATTCTGCTGTCTACAGGAGCATGATTGGAAGACTCCTCTATTTGACTACTACACGACTTGATCTTATGTTTCCAGCTAGCCTATTGTCAAGGTTTATGTACTCACCAAGTCAAGCTCACCTTAATGCTGCTAGAAGGGTGTTGAGATACATTAAAGGTACTGTTGATTTTGGTGTGTGGTATGAGAAAAAACTGAAGGAACTTTACAGGGATATGTTGACAGTGATTGGGCTGGAAGTATGGAGGATTCTAAAAGTACTTCAGGATATATCTTCTCATTTGGATCAGGTCCCTTCTGATGGAACTCAAAAAAAAGGATGTAGCGGCTCAATCAATTGTTGAGGCTGAGTATGTGTCTGCTGCTGCTGCTGCAAATCAAGCAATTTGGCTTCGGAAATTAATGATTGATTTTGGAGAAGAGCAAGTTCAGCCTGTTGTTATCATGTGTGACAACAAATCTGCAATTACTATTGCAAATAATCATGTCCAACATGGAAGAACGAAGCACATTAAAGTTAAATATCATTACATTAGAGAAGCAGAAAAGAATCAAGAGATTAAGTTGTTGTTTTCTTTAATTTATTTTGAAATTATTTTATTTACTGAGTCAATAATGGTTCCTCAAATCCAGGAATATCAGTAGCAAATAAATTTGTTAGTTAAGATTTTTATGCAGAAATATCTGTAAACATGATCTTTTTTCTTGTATTTAATCAGCTCTATCAATGAAAGAAAGTATCTTCCACATAAAAACTTTATTCTCAGTTCTTTACAACAATTTTTCTTGAATTTCTTTCTGCTATTTTTTCCTACAAATAAGTGATGGGAAAGAGTTGTAGTCCTGAGAAAACTGTAAGTCAATGTAAGCAGAAGTTTGCATTGATGAAAGAGAAGTTCAGGAATAGCACTGTGCCAGTGAAGAATACTGCTAAATCTGATAATTTGCAGGAGTCATCCAGCCAGACTGAGAACTACCAAATCCTAGACAATTATAATACTGCAAAGGTGACGCCTTCAAATTCTAACGAAGATATATGAAGACTGCATGTCCTTTTTCGTAACCTCCAAGCTCTTAAAACCTTCCCAAAGGACACTAGCCAACAATGGGAAAGAATTGCAACTGCAATTCAGGAACAAGAAGAATGCAGTTTAGGCTTTTGATCAAGTTTTTGCCAGTTGGGATTCCGTATACAACACAATTTTTGGGGCATAACTATTCAATGAATATTTCTTGAATCAGATGTGCGTTGAGGTCATGTCGTACATCTGACCATTATGTTGTCATCATATCACACAGGATAGAGAACTATTTTTTGTAATCCGAGAATTATTAAAGGAGAGTAAAATTGATTTCAAGTTTTTTAATTAAAGAATGTACTTGATGATGCTTGAAATCTCTAAGATCATGTGTAGTTTTGTAATGATGCTATAAAATGTGGGCACTTATGGCATTTTTCAGCAATCATTGGAACAAATGATTTTGACTACATGTGACAAGTCAGTGCTGGTTATGCATAATTTTTTCTTCCAGTTATTTTAGGACATGTTTGGGCCAAATTTCAATGTGATTTTAATCTAAGTCAAAATCAAAGTCAAACAATCAATATCAACTATATCTTTCATGGATCCCACATCTTTTCAACCACACATTTCAAAAACTTCTATTACAATCCACTTAAAATCTGATTTTAATCTACACCAAACACCATCTTAATGTATATGTCTTTAATTAGCATGTAGTACCTTACAACTACTTAAATTTCTCGACGAAGCATTTTTTCATAGTTATAGTGAGAGAATCAAAAATGAAGTTTTAACTTTTATGTTTAAAAGACCTTATTTGCTAGTCTTAGAAATTAAGTGCACTGTGCTTTCACCATTTTACCCAAGCCTAAAATAAACTCGAGAGTTTTTTAGGAGTTCATAACTCATTGTAGTTAAGGTATTTGAAAAGTCAAAATCTGCTTATGAGATTAAGAAATTGCTTTTTAACATATTTAGATAATATTGAAAGTATTTTATCTGATTAGAAGAGATTTTATAGAAAATTAGTGTAGGGCCCGTTTGATAGGAATTTTGAAAAGTTGAAAGTTGTTTTTAAGATTAACAAGTTGTTTTTGAATATGTTTCGATAATGTTTTGAAAATGTTTTGTCTTTATTATGAGAGATTTTAGAGAAAGTTGGTTTGAGTTGACTTTTTCATGAATCTTTTTTCATAAAAAGTAAACTCTACCAAATTGACACTATTCCTTAAACTTCTCTACACAGAAATAAAAACAAAATGCTTGTTGGGCTCAATCTAATTACCTCTTTTGGCATATAGTGCAGAAAATGTGTCTGTCCTTTCTAACGAGACAATTTAAAATTCACAAAAAATGAAAAATACTTGTAAAATTTACTAGCTCTCATTTCGTAAATTTTTTTTGCAGATTTTAAGTTGGTCAAACTTTATTTTTAACTATGCATTTTATTGGATCAATTGCTTTTATTCATTTTTTTTTAACTCCGCATTCATGGGACCCTCCAACTTATAATTTCAGACATGAAATTGAACTAGAAGTAATTTTCATTAAATTTGAAACCAAACCAGATCTTCATGGTTTGAGTTTTGGGATACCGGTTAAACCACAATTTTGAGCATTTACAAGCGATTTGATTTTGGATGATATATAGTTGGAGTTCTTAAAATAATTCAACCAATTCATGAGTGTTTATTATTCAGCAGTTCTGAATTACGTGTGTTGAATAATTCTTTTAGAAATGGTAAAAATTGGAAGAAAATTTGAAAATAGGCTAAAATTTAGTCGATTTAAAAATAGGATCCAAATTACACTACATTAATTTTTGAGCAAGTTCCTAAAAAACTTAATAAACATTGATTTTCCAACCTTCGACGTGAACAAAATAAGGGTCAAAATTAATGATAAAATCACCAAACAGGCCCCAAGAGCGACAAAGAGAGGAGAGAGAAAAATAAAAAGAGAGCGAAGAGAGAGAATTGAGGTAGAAATAGAATAGTATATGCACTCATGTGCAACATGCCGCGAAGAGCGGGTTCAAGAAAAAAAGCACCGTTTTGTCCGTATTGTCCTCGTGCACCGCTCCATGCCGTGAATCTCACTGTCAAGGGAAGAAAAACTTTATATTCTCATTAATATATTTTGCTCCTTTTTATTTAATGCAGATTGACCTTTCTAGTTTATTAATTTGAGAAATCGGTGCAAATGGTCCTGAATTGTTGTTCAAATTGTACTTTTGATCTAAACTTTTTAGATGTGACACAAATATTCCCAAATTATTTCACTTTGAGCGTAATTGGTCCTTTTAGATGGAATCCATTCAAAAGAGCTATTGATTTTGTACGGACAATTCATTCTTTTATCAAATTTGCTACATGTACAGCATACCTTACAGCCCTTTCACATGGAGGGTGGGGCCGACGATCGCAGAACCCACATTATGTGAAAGAGGCCTGTACATTGTACAGCATTTAAAAGTTGTACAAACAGATTTATTGATCTTTTATTTCAAGAGACAATTTGTTCAAACTTAACCCATTTCACCATGCATTGTCACGTACTAGACCACCACCACAAAACTTGCATCACACAACTCTTTACATGATCAAGCTTAAATTCAGTTAATTATTATTATTATTATTATTATTATTATTATTAATTATGTTGATGAAAATTTGAAGTTGTTCGCTACAATGATTCTTCATCAAATTCTGACAAACCCAAATGAAAAAACTCTTAGAACTCAACGAATTCAAAAGAAACTTGCAAAATATTTTTGTCAAAAGTTGACCTTTCTTTAAATTTAAAACTCAAGAAAATTCAATTTGGGCATGCATTTACAGCCGTACAACACAAAAGGATAAAACTGGAGCTTCATAGTTTGGGTGGGAGAGTATCTAATTCTATACCCACCAAAAAGAGACCCAAAAGATGAAAAAAAAAAAGTAATTGTTAAAACGGAGGAAAATTAGATGTGGGCAACTATTAAAGACTGCAATAAAAATTGCGTGTGAAAACATGTGTGAGAGACATGATGTTTTCGAAGAGAGAAGAAATACTATCTGTGGTGATAGTGGTGCAATGTGGTGTGAGGTGAGATGGTTAGATGAAGATTAACTTTTTTACGTTTTTGTTTTTTGTTCAAGTTTCTTGACTTTTTTAGGGGAGAAAGTCATTTGAAGAAAATGTCCCTTGAAATAAAAATTAAATAAGGACAATTGCATTGTACAACAATGGATTCTATTCAAAACTAAAAGTATCATTTGATCCAAAAATGAAAAGATTTAGGACCATTTAAACCAAGTTTAAACAATTTGGATTAAAATGCAACTTGAGCAAATGTCTGTGACATTTATAACAATTTTCCTATTAACTATTCTATAAAGGTGCAATGTATCCTATGTTTCGCCATTAGGGAATAGAACGTTGTTCAAGTTTTTACGTCTCTTTGCAAAAGACAAGTTTTATCTTTTCTTATTTTTATTAATAAATTAATAATTCAATACTTAAATTAAGCCCCGTTTGATAAAATTAATGAAATATGTGATTTAAATTTTGGATCAAACATGGACTTGTCAGGATCACGCGTGGCAGTGTGGCACTGGACATACGAGGATCACGCCTTTCTTGAATTTTCTTGGAGAAGGGCCCACCAAAACCCGTTCAATCCGTCTCTATACCGTCCTTCCATATTTAAATCTTCAATCTCAGTGTGTATTCCCTACTGTTTCATCAAATCATACCTTGTTTTATTTAGATCCCATACAGGATTGGGAAAACTCATCAATTTTATTTATATACGCATCTGTTTGTGAAAAAATTAATACAGAGTTTTCATGCATGTGTGTAAATAGATGCATGTTTTAACAGATAATAGATGATGGAAGGTGAAAACCCATTATTTAACATCATCAAGGCGAGATTTGCAAGGCCGCCATGGGTTTTTCTGTTGCTTATCGTCACAGTGGTAACGATTCTCGGCCTTCAGATCACGAAGAATACCTCGTTTCCAATCGAGTCGGTAACCGAACGGGCTGGTTTCACGGGTCCGGGTGGACCCAAGACTTGCTCCGGGTTTTTCACGGAGGTCCAGCCGAGAAAGATGGTGAAATCAATCATTCGGTTTGGTGGGGTGGGCGATGGGAAAACTTCTAATACTGCTGCGTTTCGAAGGGCCATGGAGTACATGGAGAGCTTCCGGCAGAAAGGTGGGGCCCAGTTGAATGTTCCGAAAGGAAGGTGGCTAACAGGAAGCTTCAATCTTACCAGTAATTTCACTCTGTTTCTTGAAGATGGTGCTGTTATCTTGGGATCTCAGGTGACTAATATCATATCATACTAAACTTTTACTTTATTCCCTCGGTAATTTCACCTTAATTTCATTCAAGAAAGTCCAATTCCACCTATAGAAATTGATGAATTTGATTTTAATCAGATAATACACTTTAATTTGATTCATCACACGTAACTGTTAGTTCTTGACGTAAAATAAGTATAATTTTAGAAATTTTTTGAAGTACAGTTAAGTAAATGTCATTTGTCTAAGAACAATGTTATGTGTACACTCATTAGAGGGGTGTAAATGTGTGAGGGGTGTAAATTTACACCCCTCTAATGACTGTACAAATGGGTTTTCCCTTTGTCTAATTGATATTAGAAAAGTATAATTACCGTGAATGAAATTTATCCGTTTTGAATCCACGAACTTTGCTTCTTTTGCGTGGAAGAAATTAAACTATATTTTAATAAAATTTGAAGTTAGTTACATAAATTTTAATCGCGATTTATAATTCAACACATATTGATATTAGGACCCTGAGGAATGGCCCATCATCCAGCCATTGCCTTCTTATGGAAGAGGGAGAGAGAGGTTAGGAGGGAGACATATTAGCCTCATCCATGGAGATTCCCTTACCAATGTTGTGATTACAGGTATGGACTCCAGAAACTTAAGTCATTATTATTAATTATTATAATGGCCATCACTTTAACAAACACCCAACTTGAGGGTGTCACTGGTTGCGGAAATAAATTTATCTGGCTTGACATAGTTTGGTCAATTCCACTTTTTACTTTTTTTAAAATCAAATTTTATTTCTCATTTTCTTTTTCTCTTTCTTAAATAGCAAACCGCTTAAGCTGGCAGACACGGTCAGCAGGGCTCTATAGCTGAGCCTAGCACGGCTCGACTGTAATGCCGGACTGTGTGTTTTGATGTTCTGGTCTATTTTGACGCCAGTATATCTAATCAGAATTTTACTTTATGACTTTGAAGAATGCTTACACATGTGGCTGCATTATATCAAAAGAGACAAGATTATTAAATGGCATGATTACCCAGCTAGCACTTTATAATTAATCAAAAGTGGTAGTGTTGTGACCTATCATATGTCTCCATTCCCCATCTGTCATGCCTTGGATTGTTAAGCAATTTCAATCTTGCTAAAGGAGCAAAATGGTAATAAGAATTTTTAGGATATTAGTTTTGGTGAAGCTTAGTCATAGAATTTGATTAATAAACTACAATAAGCGCTTGTCTGGGAGCCATTTTTTCCAAATTTTAATTCAAAATATAGCCGTTATACAGTAATTTTCATCAGATGGCCTAACATAATTGACTGCATTTCTCCAATCTATATACGTAATATTACTTCAATTCCCCTCTATAAAAACACCACCCCACTCTACACCATAGTACAAAGAGCATTTTTGGTAATATCTTTCTACAGCCCCCAGTCAATTATTGAGGCTTTCTGAATCCATGTATTGTATAACGGCTACATTTTGGATTAAAATTCTCTATAAATGGCTCCCAGACAGGCGTTAAGACTTGAACCCAGTATTTTTCTGACTCTGACGTCATGTTAAACCACCTCATGTGAATTAGAAACTACAATAATGGATACGGTGCAACCTGTGTATTGATACTTGCTTCTACTCCTTGATTAGTCTTCAAAAAAGTTTTTAACTTGAACATATCCTAGAAAAATCAACGAATAAGATCTAATTAATTGACCATTCATTTGCAGGGAATAATGGCACTGTTGATGGTCAGGGAAAGATGTGGTGGGATCTTTGGTGGAATAGGACTCTAAAGCACACCAGAGGTCACCTTGTTGAACTCATCAATTCAAATAATATCCTAATCTCCAACCTAACTTTCCTTAATTCTCCATTCTGGACTGTTCATCCCGTTTATTGCAGGTATTACTTGCCTCTTTTTTTCTAGTATTCTATAGAAGAGCTTAATTGCAATTTAGTAGTATTCAATGAGAAAAGTTCTTGCCAAGTGGTTTTATTAGACAAGAAAAGGGGAGTATTAAAGAAACAAAGTGTCTTTTTGGAGTTTAAACGTTTGTTGTATCTTTCGATTAAAAGTAGATTTGAGCATCATTTCTTTGTCCTGTCGATTATTAATGGAGCGTATCAGCTATTTTAAAGTAAAAAAAATGAAAGCATTTAATATCAACGAAATAAATAATAGCAAGACTGTTGTCTTATGTGTTGTACTAATTGGGCTAGTAAGCCAGAGGAAAAGATAGAGAGGTCATCAATATTCAAATACATCAAATCTCATGGCACCAAGCTTTTTAGCAGATTCTCTATGCCAAATCAGAACAATAAAAATAAAATGGTTTTCTTGAAGGATTCAACTAAGGAACCATGTGGAAGGTCTTAGGGAGATGAATTTAATAGTTTAAAAATAGTGTACAGAACTTCAGAGATATTGGATTGTCTAAAAGTAAAATTTTAAAATTCTGCTATTTCTTTTTGCCCGTGGAATGTACAGAATGTGAAAAGGACGAAGAGTTAACATAAAATGAAGAGGAAACTCCAACTTCATAATAATTGTTGAACCATCTCATATAGAAACTTAAACCGTCACGGCGATGATACATCAACTTATTTAACTCTAGTTTTCAACATGCTCCCTCACTTATAGACTAAACTCTTTAATCAAAAGCTTTTGATACATGCACAATTTTCACATTTTTCTTAGGACACATATATTTATTTAAATTTCACAAATTGATTACTTTTTGTGGATTTTTTTTTCAGCAATGTTGTGATCAAAGACATGACAATCTTGGCACCCCTCAATGCTCCAAATACTGACGGCATAGATCCAGGTACAACGAACGTTCTAAGCATAACATCGCTAAAGATTTCTTTTCCATGTATATCTAATCAGCTTAGATATTAATACTATAGTCAATGTAGAAAGAAATATCTAAGACAGTCTCTTTCTTTCTTTATCAGATTCGAGCACAAATATCTGCATTGAAGATTGTTATATTGAGAGTGGTGATGACCTGGTAGCCGTGAAGAGTGGCTGGGACCAATATGGCATCACCACGTCACTTCCAAGTGTAAACATCACTATAAGGCGAGTTTCAGGCACAACTCCTACGTGTTCAGGTGTTGGAATTGGTAGTGAAATGTCCGGTGGAGTTAGAAATATCGTTGTAGAGGATTTATACATAAGAGATTCAGCAGCCGGGGTGCGAATAAAAACTGACAAGGGAAGAGGAGGGTATATAAGGAATATCACTATGCGTAACATAACGATGGAGAGAGTCAAGGTACCTATAAGGTTTAGTAGAGGTGCAAACGACCACCCCGATGAGAAATTTGATCCTAAAGCCTTACCAAAAGTTCAAGGGATTTCTATAGTTGATGTGGTTAGCGTGGATTCAAGGAAAGCTCCCTTGCTACTGGGTATAGAAGGTGCACCATTTGAGGATATTTGCATGAAAAATGTTAGGATACAAGGTTTATCCTCGTCTATAAGCTGGAACTGTGAGTTTGTCTCAGGTTTTAGTGAAGGAGTGTTCCCAGTGCCATGTTTAGAGTTGCAGAAAAATGGCTCCTCATCACGGTGTTTATATTCTTAAGGTTTTTTTATGATGGCTTAGAAATTTGTGGTATTATAGCTGATGACACTAATCATATTATGGTTGCGGAACATGTGATAGGAGTGAATGGGTTTGCTTAGTTCGTATGTGACGTCCTGCATCGAAAGGAAATCTGGGGCTCATCAAAGGCCTATAAGAAGAAAAGTTCCTATTGGCTTGAGTTTCGGTATGGTACCGTGTTTTCATACTCAGCTGTACATGCATTTTTTTTAGAATACCTCTGTTGGAACAACCCACATCAATTGCAGAGTCTTAATCAAATGCATCCGCTTCAATTTGGTGTTTCTTCTTTTTCTGAGTTCCTTGTCCATTTTTGTCAGTTTTCGATATCTAAGTGATGGAATGTTCATTTTTTTTTAACTTCACAAATGTTTACAGAGATAAAGAGAGTTGAATTATATGAAAATGTAACGTTTCTGCTGCTTACTTTACCGGGGTGCAATATTTATTGGAACGGTTAAGAAACTTTTTGTATTAGTTCATAGTAGAGCAGAAGTCCAGGATTCTGAAACTCCGATGATAATATATTAATTATACAGAATTTTTCTCTCTTCTTGCATTTCACTATATGTTACTAGTTTTCATTTTCTCCTTTTGAAATAGTCTTGCCTAATATTATGCAAGTGATGCAGCTGGATTCCATGAAATCCGGAGAACCAAATGACACTTAAAACATATGATTGATCAATCAAACAGAGAAAGAGAACGGCAATTCTCAACTTAAAATATAAATTCATGTTCAGGAAAGGGAGTTATGAAGGTTTTACAATATTCACCATTTCCAGAACACGTTCGAACCACACTTGTATTTGTCCTTCCCTTTGCATTCCAACTCCAAGTCATCAGAAATGAATGGCACTTTCTGCGTGAAGTAGAAATAGAATTAGCACAAATGATTTTCGAAGCTAACCCAGAGAATAAATAGGAAAGAAATTTTTTGGTGGGCATAAGATCAAACCTTCTGTTTGGCAAGATCTTGGCACCCAGTGAAGTTTTCAGGGAACTTGCAAGTGCCAAACTGAACTGTGAATGCCCGAGCAAAGTTGGCGCCACTGGTGGCCAGCCTCTTCTTGTCATTCAGTTCCTACAACGGCCAAAAATGTTTAGTGTTGAGCTGTTAAGACCATGTTTGGTACATAACAACATACAAGATTTTTATCCTTTTTATTGTTTAATATTATCAAATCTAATTAGTATACTAAACATGGCACAAATGCATTTAAACAAGTTGTATGATTGTAAGCTGACCTTGTTGGCCTTGCTTTTTTCGATGTATTCATCAATGATGCTGGCATTGGCAGAGGAGGTGGAAACTGCAGCAGTCAAAAGGGCTGCACCAAGGCCAAGAAGTGCTGCTCTTCTTCCCGACTCATTCGAGTCAGAAATTTTAACCTGTTGGGCCCTTATCATGGGCAATTTCTGAACTGGTGCCATCGGTGTGGCAACTGAAGGCACTGAAACAACCTTAGAGTTAAGCTCAGTGCCTGACACAGCATAGTTCCAGGCCAATACACTAGAGTTCATGGCTGCCATCCACGTGGTTTATTTGCCGCAATTTGGTGGAGCAGAAGCTGAGGCTGGTGGAAATTTTGGTTAATGGGGGTGGTGATGAATACAGAATGTGTAATTAAGGTTGTGGTGCGTATGGATAAGGTGAGATTGCCTCACTCCCATTGGCAAATCGGGGTGTTGTAGTGGGTCTGTCTGTGCCAAATTCTGTGGTGAATTTGAGTTTGGGACCCCGTATTCTAATCTAAATATGTGATTTGGATATCTTCAATCGAAGAAGCCTACAGAATTATACCATGAAAAAAATTAGGTAAATTATATCTAAAGAATAGAGAACACCAGAAAAGGAATAATGAGACAATAAAAGAATGATACCATTATCCTTTTTAAGTTATCTCAACATCGTCTTCCTTGGCAGAATTTGTCCATTAAACTTTCATCATCTAGCCGAATCTGTCCAAATCTGGTGTAGCGTAAACATTCAATAGTTAATTCGGACCATAAAATAATGATTGAAAATCACATATGATCAATTGGATGCCATTGGAGATTAAGGGAGTGAAATATAGTTGAAGTGTTTTCACAAATCAATTTTCAGTCGAAGAAATTATGCTTCGGATTTTTAGCTACAACTTGAGACTCATTTTTTGATTAGCAACATTGAAATCGGAAAAATTTTCCCCCGTTAGTTTTAGCAACTTATCTTTCATGAGCCTAGGGGCACCAATTCACAGCCTGCGAAGGTGAATCAAGTCCATTCTCTCTGTCCTGATTATCTCGCGAGCTGGGGAGGGAGGGAGGGAGGGGGGGGGGGTGGACACGAAGGAGCATCTTCAATGAGACCAAGGGGAGAGGATGGATGGAACGAAGGGTAGAGGATCTAAAAGAATTGTATCCCTTTCAGTTATCTTTCTAACACACTTTGAATTAGTTCAATCGGATATCAAGAGAAAAAACTATTAACAAAATGCCGAAAGCAGCTCAGGAACGACATCGCGCAAATCAGCTTGCGCGGGGGCCAATTTAAGCTCGCGCGCTAGACATTGTTTTTCCAACTTGAGATCAAAATTACACAATGGCGTGCGTGGTGGGTAGGCATGCATGTACGTGCGGGGCCCATTTTCGCAGATGAATCAACTATTCAAACTCTTTTGGAACACAAATTGGACGCGATTTTGACAATTTCTGGCTCTTATACACAAAATAAAGGCTACACATTAATAAAATTAAATAATAATAAAAACTCTTTTGCCTCTTCAAATACAATAGTATCATCAAATTCATCAAGAACAAGAGGTCAATTACTATATTTTGAGAAATGAGATCAAGTCCTAGCAAGGAGTTGAAAATCAATTGCATCGAGATTTTGAAGAATTCAACATTGGACTTGAAGATCAACATCTATTGAATTATTTCATGATTCGGGTGATATTTTTCTATTGTTCNAAATATATAATTTTTGAACAAATATATAAAAGTAAATAATTGAAATGGGGATATACAAATATTAAAATATATAATTTTTTAAAAACTAAATTATAGTTAAGACTTAAGTAGGTGCCAACCTAGTTGGAATGTACTTAAATTATAAATTATAATAAAACTAGATGTCAACCTAATTGGGATGTACTTATACTATAAATATTTGATAATAATAATTAGAAATGCATTTAATTGTTATTTGTTTAAGTTAAATTTAACCTTGCAAAGTTATAAATAATTCATGTAATATTAAATTTGAATTTTATGTAAACATTTCTTGGTATAAATATGAATTTATCATTTTGTTCAATTCTCAGTTTACATTTAACAAAAAAAATATTTTTTGCTGTAAATATGAAAAATCTATATTTTTATAATTTTATTTATACAATAATACGGGTCAAATCGAAACAAACCGCGACCCGTGACCCGCATGGGCTCGACCCGGATGGGTCAGCGGGCGGACCTGAGTTGTATTCCAAAATTTGTGGGTCAATCCGGAACTCGTAGCAGGTGGGATTTTTGTCACGCGGGCCGTTATTGGGCTCATATGTTGGCGGGCCGACCCGACCCGGACCACTCGAATTGACACCTCTATGTAATCATATAGACAATCTAATTTTTAATGCATAATAATCATTTGAATTCGGACTAGGAATATATTAGGGTTGTGGTGAAGATAGATTTAATTTGTTTTGAAAAGAAAATTATATATCATAATTTTATCGATTGTCAAGAATGTATGAACTGAATTAGATTACAAATCAACAATTGAAATAAATAACAATAGGTAGATTCGTAGTCCAATACAATCATCCATAATTCGATAAAAATTAAACTTTTACAACCTTTAGAATAATTACAAAATCAAAAACTCTGTTGCGTTACATAATTCGAATTCCATACGAATCCAGTAAACTTGTATTGAATTTATCCCCTGTGGGACGTTACTCTTAACTTATCACTTCTATTACTTGTCAACAATTTCATACGCTTCCGAGTTTTGCATGAAAAAGTAGTCCACAAAACTAAAGAACAGACAATCTTAAATGATTTCACTAATGCTAGTAAATTTCCAAAATGCTACCCCCACATTGTTTCAACACAAATCACTTTGATGTAGCATTCAATATGTATGGAAATTTATAGAACTTGCGTGAAGGAATTCCAATGAACGCACTATATAGTCCATGAAAAACTCGAAATTCTTAGAATTAGAAATTTCTCGTATCTCAAATCATATATAGTTCATGAAAATAGTACTTTCCTCATGACAGTGAAACATATCCCATGTTTGTAATGTCACACCAGGCACCCTCTCCTTACAGAAGATTTTTTTTCTTAATTATGCTTTCACCTTGTAGCGGCTTAATAATAAAATTTCAGAAAATGCTGCTGATACAAGGTCTTTAAATTACCGACTTGCTGTTTTATTGAGAAATTCGCGGCTATATAGTTGATTAACTCTTCATTTACAAAGTAATAGTGAGTAAAATTTTAGAAATGTTGCGGAAACAAGTCGATATAACTGTCATATCTTGTTTCCTAATTGAGAGTTTGTGGAATGCATAAGTTGCACGCGCACGTTATGGGTAGTTTGGCACGCACGTAGCACACTCGTTTTATTAATTTGTGTATATAAATAAAATTCATTCTTATCATAAGATCAATACTTTATTAGTATGATGAGGCTTTAGATTATTGCTTCAAAAGTTGGAGCTTAAATGCTTCTCCTGGTTCTCATTCGTATCAACCTCGATGACAGAGGCAGCAACAACTAATGCAACAACAACTAGTTTAATCTTCCCAGTTGCATCAAAATTCAATGGGATTCAACCCACAACAGTTGTTCCAAATGGTACAACAGCAACAAAGTGGCCATTCACAGGTGAATCAGCAGCAACAACAGCAACACCAGAGAAGCAGCCACAACAGCTTTTGCATTGGCAGCAGCAGTTTCTAAGAATGGTCGCCCCGTAAACCATACATCTTTAAGTTTGACTTGATGACAGCCAGTTATTACTGCATCCAGAAATACTACTTCAGGGTACAGTTCAAGCCAATGGACAGAAGCGAGCAATCAACTCCTTTGATATTCGTTACAAAATGCACGAAACTCGCACACTAACCGAAACTACAAATTCTGACTTATAGGATTGGGACAGAATAGAAAGAGCATTCTATGGAAGGAAAATAGATTATGTGATCTCCATTGGATATGATCTGTAATGTAATTCCAATTTATTGGACCATGAAAGATTAAATTATAGTTGTTTACACCCAAATGCGGAATAAAACCAATTAAAAGCAACAAGTTACTTTAATTGTTTCTAGATGATTAAGGTAATTAATCCAATTAATTCCTATGGTTAAAACAATCACCTAAACATATAGATCAAAAGCAATAAACAACACCAGATATGATCACTGAGGAAAATCCCCAATCGAATAAAAACCTCCCAGCAAATTTGCTAGTAAAATCCACTAGTAAAGTAAATTTACAATTAGTTCAGACACTGCTAAACCTTAGCTGATTCTGATCATCTAGCTTGTAAATCACCAAGGAACTCCATTGGTTGTGTACCCCACACTTCTCAAAACTCTGAGCAAACTTTTCTCTCCCGGTGGATCTCCAAGAACGAATCTCGTTCTTACACGCCGGAACTCCCAAGTGCCTCTTCTCCAACCTTTAGAGCTCTAAAGGCTATTACTGAAGGTAGGGTATGGTGTTTGATCAAAGATCTTTCTATATGTTNGTGTCTACTCGAGCGTTTAATGATAGTCTTGGCAAGTTAGGGATGAGTGATATCTATGCACCAACTTGAGGGGGAGTGTTAACAAATCAAATTGTGATTGATTCCAAGTTGGTATCTTACCATACATAAACATCCTACCTAAATTGGAGATATTCATTCCTTCCTTAAGAGATTGTATAGGGACGTGTATATATATACTTGTCATTGTAAAAGATGGAATTAAGTGAATGAAATATTGATTTGAACTATATCTTGTTTCCTAATTGAGAGTTTGTGGAATGCATAAGTTGCGCGCGCACGTTATGGGTAGTTTGGCACGCACGTAGCACACTCGTTTTATTAATTTGTGTATAAAAATAAAATTCATTCTTATCATAAGATCAATACTTTATTAGTATGATGAGGCTTTATATTATTGCTTCAAAAGTTGGAGCTTAAATGCTTCTCCTGGTTCTCATTCGTATCAACCTCGATGACAGAGGTAGCAACAACTAATGCAACAACAACTAGTTTAATCTTCCCAGTTGCACCAAAATTCAATGGGATTCAACCCACAACAGTTGTGCCAAATGGTACAACAGCAACAAAGTGGCCATTCACAGGTGAATCAGCAGCAACAACAGCTACACCAGAGAAGCAGCCACAACAGCTTTTGCATTGGCAGCAGCAGTTTCTAAGAATGGTCGCCCCGTAAACCATAAATCTTTAAGTTTGACATGATGACAGCCAGTTATTACTGCATCCAGAAGTATACTTCAGGGTACAGTTCAAGCCAAT